ACGGCTTTTTTGCTGTTTCTTAAGTCAGCTTTTTAATATAAAAATTAAAATTTTTTACTAAAAAATTATTTTAAGAAATAGAAAGAAAGCCGTCTCAAACGAAACCTTAGTTTTTGTTTACGTCATATATAGCCCACTTTGTTCCCTGCAGAAGTTAATGCACCAATTTGCTTTTTCTTGAAATTGTTCCATTACATGGTATCCCCAAAACAATCACCTTCTTCACCTGATTTTGGATAAGTATTCCAGTTAGATTCAATCAGGGCTGTGATCTTTGGTATATGTTTATAAGTTGGATTTAGGTTGGTATGTAAATAGCGTTGTCTACATTAATGTTAATCCTTCATACAATGTAATCTCATTATGATTCACCCACAAATTTAGTCTTTTATTAGTTCATGAAGTAACCTACAGGCTTTAAACCACATTAACTGTGATGTGCTTTGGGAACAGGTTGACATTTTCTTAACTCATTGGGTCGTCTAGTGTTATGTATTCCTGGAAATGATATGATAAATTTCATTAAACTAAGGCCTCGTTTGAGACAGCTTAATTTCGCCTTCTCAGTTTTGAAATGACAGAAATTTTTTTTGGCTGTTGTTAGTATGTGTCACTTTTGCAGAAATGCTTTTTAGAGAACTGCATTTTTATAATGTTTTCAGAAGTTTTTTGATATTAACTTCTCTATTAGAAAACTTCGTTCTCTCAAATAACAAATTTAAAACTACCTTTTAGGAAAGATACAGAATAATCAAATGAAGCCTAAAACAACTTGAAAGATCCATTGCATAATTTGTATAGCTAAATCTGGATTTTTTCTGTTTCCTCCATCTCTGCAGTATTTCTTGTATCAGCTTCTCCGTGGGCTAAAATACATACATTCAGCGAACGTCCTTCATAGAGATTTGAAGCCTAGCAATCTCTTAGTGAATGCTAATTGCGATTTGAAGATATGTGACTTTGGGCTGGCTCGTACTACTTCAGAAACTGATTTTATGACAGAATACGTTGTTACAAGATGGTACCGTGCACCAGAACTTCTCTTGAATTCTTCAGAGTATACGGCATCAATTGATGTATGGTCAGTTGGTTGCATATTTATGGAACTCATTGACCGGAAGCCATTATTTCCAGGGAGAGATCACGTGCATCAGTTGCGTCTACTTATGGAGGTTAGATAAACATTGGCAGTTTTTTAAAATGGAGAATTAAAATCTATATTTTTTTAAGGGAAGAATTCATTTTTTGTTAAACTTTTTTTTTAATATTTAAGGAGCCAATTGTCTCGTTGAATGGATGATT